GTGTGTGTGTGTGTGTGTGTGTGTGTGTGTGTGTGTGTGTGTGTGTGTGTGTGTGTGTGTGTGTGTGTGTGTGTGTGTGTGTGTGTGTGTATGTGTGTACTCACCTAGTTGTACTCACCTAGTTGTGCTTGCGGGGGTTGAGCTCTGGCTCTATGGTCCCGCCTCTCAACCGTCAATCAACAGGTGTACAGATTCCTGAGCCTATTGGGCTCTATCATATCTACACTTGAAACTGTGTATGGAGTCAGCCTCCACCACATCACTTCCTAATGCATTCCATTTGTCAACCACTCTGACACTAAAAAAGTTCTTTCTAATATCTCTGTGGCTGTGTGTGTGTGTGTGTGTGTGTGTGTGTGTGTGTGTGTGTGTGTGTGTGTGTGTGTGTGTGTGTGTGTGTGTGTGTGTGTGTGTGTGTGTGTGTGTGTGTGTGTGTGTGTGTGTGTGTGTGTGTGTGTGTGTGTGTGTGTGTGTGTGTGTGTGTGTGTGTGTGTGTGTGTGTGTGGCGCCTGTCCGTCTGTTCTCTGGACAACTGCCGTCTTCACCAGCGCCACACGACCGAAGCTTTCTCATTTCCTGCCGGCGTCTCAGGTCAGCGACACCTCCATGACCGCCGGAAATGGTCCTACTCGGTGAGACCTGGGTCCAGCACCCCCACACACACTCGCCTCCAGCAACGGGGGTATGCAACACCTCTTCAACATCTTCGTTTACAGAACTCGATATTAAAATATGTTGCAAAAGGTTTTCCATGACAGTATTTTGCATTGACGAAAACGTGAAAGGTGTGACATGTGATGGGGGAGTGAACTGGACTAGAACAGAATAGAACAGGTTGGAACCTCTAGAGAACAGGCAGAACAGGCGGGTCTTAGTACCAAGAGTTCTTGGCCGCGTCTGACCGTCTTAGGCGTTCTGCTTTCAGGACGTGTTCCCTCCTTGGTACGTCGCCCAAAGGGCCGAAGTTCGATCCTCGATGGCCCAAATGACCGGGCACTTTGCCATCATGTCCCAGCCAAGTGGTATACTGTTATACAGACTCTGCCTCTCCATAGTTACCAGTAGTTAATACACACTTTTTGAAGTACGTGAACAATGGTGTAACCACTTGACTGAGAACTTGCATTGTTGTACTCGCCTAGTTATTCTTGCGGTGGGGTTGAGCTGCAGCTCTTTAGTCCCGCCTCAACTGTCAATCAACAGATTCTCGAACCTATTGGGCTCTATCATAACTACATTTGGAACTGTGTTAGGTTGAGGACCCCAGTGGCCGGACCCCCCAGCCACTGTGTGGCCGGACCCCCAGCCACTGTGTGGCCGGACCCCAGCCACTGTGTGGCCGGACGCCAGCCACTGTGTGGCCGGACCCCAGCCACTGTGTGGCCGGACCCCAGCCACTGTGTGGCCGGACCCCAGCCACTGTGTGGCCGGACCCCAGCCACTGTGTGGCCGGACCCCAGCCACTGTGTGGCCGGACCCCAGCCACTGTGTGGCCGGACCCCAGCCACTGCTCATATCAACACCGTTGCTTTCACGTCATTGTAAACAGAGCACATAAGCAGGATGTTGACATAACAAAGTGTGAGGGGTGAGAACATATGAAAAGTAGCCAAGACTTGAGCAGCGTGAGGCCACAGTGCGTGAGGACGGCGCCTCTCGGAGCGAGGACAGGGTTTTTTACCCTCCAGTTCACTGTGGCTTGTCTGGCATGTTGACAGATACTGTGATTGACAGTATGACAGGTAATAACATTAACTTGAATTATCCAGGGGATAGAACTCGGACCTGTAAAATAAGGAGCCACCTCAACTTACTGGATCTCGATGAGGAAGGTAGCCAGGCTGCTCTTCACCACCACCACCACTACCACCACTCCACCACCACTCCACCACCACTCCCCCCTCACCACCACCACTCCCCCCTCAAAGCCCCCCCCCCCCATCCCCCAGACACCCACCAGGCGACAGATTCCTGGAGGGTAACCTTTAAATTTTTAATAAATTAATTCATGGTAAAAAATTAATGTAACGCATGATGAGGCTTACCACAAGGCTGGGAGGCAGGGAGGGAGGCAGGCAGGCAGGCAGGCAGGCAGGCAGGCAGGCAGGGAGGCAGGCAGGCAGGCAGGCAGGCAGGCAGGGAGGCAGGCAGGCAGGCAGGCAGGCAGGCAGGGCGGCAGGGAGGGAGGCAGGCAGGCCAGCAGGGAGGCAGGGAGGGAGGCAGGCAGGCAGGCAGGCAGGCAGGGAGGCAGGCAGGCAGGCAGGCAGGCAGGCAGGCAGGCAGGCAGGCAGGCAGGGAGGGAGGCAGGCAGGCAGGCAGGCAGGCAGGCAGGCAGGCAGGCAGGCAGGGAGGGAGGCAGGCAGGCAGGCAGGGAGGGAGGCAGGCAGGCAGGCAGGCAGGCAGGGAGGCAGGCAGGCAGGCAGGTAAGCAGGCAGGCAGGCAGGCAGGCAGGCAGGCAGGCAGGCAGGCAGGCAGGCAGGCAGGCAGGCAGGGAGGCAGGCAGGCAGGCAGACAGGGAGTCAGGCAGGCAAGCAGGCAGGCAGGGAGGCAGGCAGGCAGGCAGGCAGACAGGGAGGCAGGCAGGCAGGCAGGCAGGAAGGCAGGAAGGCAGGCCAGCAGGCAGGAAGGCAGGCAAGCAGGCAGGCAGGCAGGCAGGCAGGCAGGCAGGCAGGCAGACAGGGAGGCAGGCAGGCAGGCAGGCAGGAAGGCAGGAAGGCAGGAAGGCAGGCCAGCAGGCAGGAAGGCAGGCAAGCAGGCAGGCACGCAGAGAGCCATGCAGGCAGGCACGCAGAGAGCCATGCAGGCAGGCACGCAGAGAGCCATGCAGGCAGGCAGGGAGGCAGGCAGGCAGGCAGGCAGGGAGGGAGGCAGGCAGGCAGGCAGGCACGCAGAGAGCCATGCAGGCAGGCAGGCAGGCAGGCAGGCAGGCAGGCAGGCAGGCAGGGAGGCAGGCAGGCAGGCAGGGAGGCAGGCAGGCAGGCAGGCAGGGAGGCAGGCAGGCAGGCAGGCAGGCAGGCAGGCAGGCAGGCAGGCAGGCAGGCAGGCAGGCAGGCAGGGAGGGAGGGAGGCAGGGAGGCAGGCAGGCAGGGAGGCAGGCAGGCAGGCAGGCAGGCAGGCAGGCAGGCAGGCAGGCAGGCAGGCAGGCAGGCAGGAAGGCAGGCAGGGAGGCAGGCAGGGAGGCAGGAAGGCAGGCAGAGAGGCAGGCAGGGAGGCAGGAAGGCAGGCAGGAAGGCAGGCAGGAAGGCAGGCAGGAAGGCAGGCAGGGAGGCAGGAAGGCAGGCAGAGAGGCAGGCAGGGAGGCAGGCAGGCAGGCAGGCAGGCAGGCAGGCAGGCAGGGAGGCAGGCAGGCAGGCAGGCAGGCAGGCAGGCAGGCTAGGGTAGACAGACTGTTGCTAGGCAACCATCTCTGACGCTCTCCACTGCTGCCTCTTGTACATCCCTTCATCTTCCCTCTCTCTCTTATCACGCCCACGGCACCCACACCCTGCCTCCCACGTCACCCACACCCTGCCTCCCACGTCACCCACACCCTGCCTCCCACGTCACCCATACCCTGCCTCCCACGGCACCCACACCCTGCCTCCCACGTCACCCATACCCTGCCTCCCACGGCACCCACACCCTGCCTCCCACGTCACCCATACCCTGCCTCCCACGTCACCCACACCCTGCCTCCCACGTCACCCATACCCTGCCTCCCACGGCACCCACACCCTGCCTCCCACGGCACCCAAACCCTGCCTCCCACGTCACCCATACCCTGCCTCCCACGGCACCCACACCCTGCCTCCCACGGCACCCATACCCTGCCTCCCACGTCACCCATACCCTGCCTCCCACGTCACCCACACCCTGCCTCCCACGTCACCCACACCCTGCCTCCCACGGCACCCACACCCTGCCTCCCACGTCACCCATACCCTGCCTCCCACGTCACCCACACCCTGCCTCCCACGTCACCCATACCCTGCCTCCCACGGCACCCACACCCTGCCTCCCACGTCACCCATACCCTGCCTCCCACGTCACCCACACCCTGCCTCCCACGTCACCCATACCCTGCCTCCCACGTCACCCATACCCTGCCTCCCACGTCACCCACACCCTGCCTCCCACGGCACCCACACCCTGCCTCCCACGTCACCCATACCCTGCCTCCCACGGCACCCACACCCTGCCTCCCACCTCACCCATACCCTGCCTCCCACGTCACCCACACCCTGCCTCCCACGTCACCCATACCCTGCCTCCCACGGCACCCACACCCTGCCTCCCACGTCACCCATACCCTGCCTCCCACGTCACCCACACCCTGCCTCCCACGTCACCCATACCCTGCCTCCCACGTCACCCACACCCTGCCTCCCACGGCACCCACACCCTGCCTCCCACGTCACCCATACCCTGCCTCCCACGGCACCCACACCCTGCCTCCCACGGCACCCACACCCTGCCTCCCACGTCACCCATACCCTGCCTCCCACGTCACCCACACACCTTACCCTTTTCCATTGATACTTGACCCTTCACTTCCCCCTCCCCCACCCACTCTCACTCCCCCCACCCACCCTCACTCCCCCCACCCACCCTCACTCCCCCCCACCCACTCTCCCCCACCCCAAAAGCCGACAGGGTGACGTCGCCGACATTCTCAATAAGTATTAAATTATCTCATTATCCTCATAGCGCTAACATCCTCCAGGCGAGCATCCTCCTCTCCTCCGGCCGGAGATCCGGCCCTCTACAGCCTCTAGGTTCGCCCTCTACAGCCTCTAGGCTCGCTCTCACAGCTAGCCCAACCGTCCAGTACTCGGGGGACTTTAATCTGTAGTTCTAAGATTGCTAAAACATATTAAATATTTTAAATATTACCGATTCTCAACTTTCTCCCTCTTGCCTTTGTTACATGTTGTTGTCACGAGGTAATTCTTCGAGTTCTGGCGAAGATATCTCTGGAAGCCTTTGAGAATGTTGACGTCTTTTGTGTTCCTTCACCACAGAGTGTCGCTGACGTACCGGGTGACGTCAGCACACAAGATCAAGCTGACTGACAAGCAGCTGCTGCAGTGGCTGACGCCCATCTTGATGATCGTGTTGGTGTACCTAGGCGCCTGGACCCTGAGTGCCACCCCCAGCGCCGTCGATCTCAAGGACTACAGCCATCTCAAGTTCAAGCAGTGCCGCTACGACTGGTGGGACCACTCCCTCGCCATGGGTGAGTTGTCGGGTACAGGGGGGACGGAGGGCGACTTTGGGAGGGAGGGAGGAACAGTACTTGTAGGGAGGGAGGGAGGAACAGTACTTGTAGGGAGGCAGGGAGGAACAGTACTTGTAGGGAGGGAGGGAGGAACAGTACTTGTAGGGAGGGAGGGAGGAACAGTACTTGTAGGGAGGGAGGGAGGAACAGTACTTGTAAGTAGGGAAGGAGGAACAGTACTTGTAGGGAGGAAGGGAGTGACGGTACTGTAGGGAGGAAGGGAGTGACGGTACTTGAGGAACGGAGGGAGGGAGTGACGGTACTGTAGGGAGGGAGGAACAGTACTTGTGACGGAGGGAGGGAAGGTGGCAGAAAGGGAGGGAAAGTAGCAGGGAAGGCAGACGTCAGGAATTGTTTTTTACAACTAGTTGTTGTAAAAAAAATAATTAAACTTGTTTTACGAATTAACCTCTTACGTAATGTGTACTTTGTGTTACATAAACATTAAATTGATAAATAATTACTACAGTACATATTCACATCCATAATTCCTGATCACCTGAGCAGTGCACCACCACCACCTTCTCCTCCTCCGGCAGGCGAGGTGCTCTTCCTGATGTGGGGGGTGAAGGTGTGCTTCAGTGTCCGCAAGGCGGAGAGCTTCTTCGACGAGGCCAAGTACATCTCGTGGGCCGTCTACAACATTGCCATCGTTAACATCGTCATGGTCACCTTCCAGTGAGTCCTCTTGAAGAATGTCACTCTTATTTCTTAGACTGTTTTAACTATTATATAATTAATTTATCACCCTGCATCGTGGAAGTAATTACAAGGCTTTTCAGCACTAGTTTTCAGGTCTATTTTATGTTATGCTGAGATAGTTCCACTCAGGCTTTCAACACAAGCAATTTTTAGTTCTGGGAAAGACACAATTCTCACGAGTAAAAACAATGGATTGTTCGTCATTTTCGGAAAATGTAGCATAGAGTAGTACAGACTTCATACATCTAATATCATTTAATGTCCTCGTGCTGTGTTGCTTCTCTTGTTCAACTTCTGAAAACACTACTCATCAAACACTGGTCTGGTCAAAAGTTACTGATTTGATTTTATCACCAATTTATCTTCATAATATTTCTCGGCCAAAACACCTTCCTTACTCCACACTTTGACACAAAGCTTCCCACTCTCACTTGTCTGACCTTGTTGATCCTATTGGCTTGGACTGCTCTTGTAAAATTCTATCACGACCCAGCGTGGATATTGCTAGAGTTGGCCCTCTATTACTTGTGCTACTAAGACAATGCACATGAGGAACTGCCAACCATAAGTAAGAAGCCTCGTAGCCCTCTATACGAGGATCTGCTCTAAAGGCATGAACCTGTCCTCTCGAACAGGATATCACATTTTGACCTACAAATCCCCAAACCGACAAAATATAATATACTATAGCGCAAAATTGATGGGATGTCCCGTTCTCTAATCGTGGAAGCTGGTGTTTTAGATTCGGCTACTCTGAACAAAAAGTTCCAAGCAGCACGGGCTATGGTGAGCCCGTCGTACTTACCTGCCACAAGAGATGTGCGCCTAGGAGCTGAGCCATGCCAGGCCAAGCCAGATCAGGCCAGGCCAGGCCAGGTCGGGCCAGGCCAAGTTGATACATAGTTTTTGTGACGTGACAACTCTTGAAGGCCAGGCATGCTTAACCCAGGGCACAATCGCCAGTTGCGTTCACCTGTCACAAAGCCCTGTTTCAGTAGTGGCACTAGAGCAAGGCGTCTCAACTGCAAGTTCGGCACAAATATTTAATCAGGTGTGGGCTGGCGGTGACTGGGAATACTGTGGCTCAATAAGATATTATGCAGCATAAATCAGGCTCACGTAAAGTAGATACATTCAATTAGGATCAGCTTTATTTACGTTGATCTGTATACATGACAGAAGGATTGTCATTACTTAAGTGCCAAGGCACAGAAGATGTGCCTATCTCTTATTTCCGACTACCTCCTTCACATTCCTTCTTCACATTCCTTCTCCACATCTCCGTACATTCCTTCCTTGTCCCCTTCACACTCTGTATCACTCTGATTACTTCTTATTCTACTGTTGTTGTGTATCTTCTTGGTCTTATTCAAGTGTAAGGTTATTGTTTGCCCTGTTTACATATAGTACTTGTTCCGCCGTGTCAATGGGTAATGTGTTTTACCTTGTCTCCATGTGTTTTCTCAGCAGTGCTTACTTTAATTCACTCCTTCCTTATCGCAGCCTGATCATCTTCCCCGACGCTGGGCCGGACATCAAGTACCTGTTTGGGTTCCTGAGGACACAGTTCAGCACCTCCACCACCGTCCTCCTCATCTTTGGGCCCAAGGTGAGTGAGACACATAGCCCAAGGTGGGTGACACATTGCCCGATGTGGGTGACACACATAGCCCGAGGTGGGTGACACATAGCCCGAGGTGGGTGAGACACATAGCCCAGTGCCTTCAAGCATATTTTCTCTTAACGGCTTCTTACCTAACCCGGCTTACAAGATCGGGCTTGTCCAGGTCACGGCCTTTCCAAATGTCGGTCGCCTATGCAATGAGTCTTGAAATCATTGGTTTTGTCATACCTGGTATTCAAACTATGCATGGAGGTAGCTTACATTATTTTTTCCTGTTCATTCCAATCTTAACTGCCCTTACACTGGTAGTGTGGTTCATCTGTGTGGATACCACCCCAAGCATGTCCCCGTGTCTTGTGCTACTCTTCAACATTAATATCTTATCCATCTCATTGACACCACGGAATATTCTGTATCCTTTATTTCTGTCATCCGATGTCGTTAGATTCAGTTTTCCCAGTCTTATTCCTGTTGCTCAATCTACTTCATTCCGGAACAAGTCTTGTGGCATGCCTCCTGGTTACCTGGTTGATGGGGTTCTGGGAGTTCTTCTACTCCCCAAGCCCGGCCCGAGGCCAGGCTTGACTTGTGAGAGTTTGGTCCACCAGGCTGTTGCTTGGAGCGGCCCGCAGGCCCACATATACCTGGTTGATGGGGTTCTGGGAGTTCTTCTACTCCCCAAGCCCGGCCCGAGGCCAGGCTTGACTTGTGAGAGTTTGGTCCACCAGGCTGTTGCTTGGAGCGGCCCGCAGGCCCACATATACCTGCTTGATGGGGTTCTGGGAGTTCTTCTACTGCCCAAGCCCGGCCCGAGGCCAGGCTTGACTTGTGAGAGTTTGGTCCACCAGGCTGTTGCTTGGAGCGGCCCGCAGGCCCACATATACCTGCTTGATGGGGTTCTGGGAGTTCTTCTACTGCCCAAGCCCGGCCCGAGGCCAGGCTTGACTTGTGAGAGTTTGGTCCACCAGGCTGTTGCTTGGAGCGGCCCGCAGGCCCACATATACCTGCTTGATGGGGTTCTGGGAGTTCTTCTACTCCCCAAGCCCGGCCCGAGGCCAGGCTTGACTTGTGAGAGTTTGGTCCACTAGGCAATCAAGCCTCTGAAAGTTCTCATTTTTTGTGTTACTTGAGATAGGGGTTCCATATATAGAGGACAGATGCTGTATAAAGCGTTGTGAAAGCTTCCTTGTCTCGCCTCCTGAAGGCTAAGCTGATGTTCTCTAGCTCAGCATATGCTGATGTGATTATACTCAGTACCTGGCAGTTATACTTTCCCTAGGTTCCTTATTTCGCGTGAGGTTGTGAAAGGAGGTGGCTTGTAACACCTATACTTCAAGCTCACTCCACTTGTTTACCACCAGCAATGTGCAAATGATAAATAGGTTTTGTAAGTTTCCTAACACCTGACCACATGTATGGCTCATCCTACACCCCCACCATGACGTAACCCCCATGACGTAACCCCCATGACCTAACCCCCATCACCTAACCCCATGACCTAACTCCCCATGACCTAACCCTCCATGACCTAACCCCCCCATGACCTAACCCCCCACGTATAAGGCTGTTGCTATACCCTATGATCTGACCCCTGGCCGTCTTGCAGTTCTACCGGATCGTGCAGGGGACGGGCGACCAGTACGACAACAGAGCCCGGGCCAAGGGTGTTACTGCCAGCTTCTCGCTCAACGGCCTGGGTGTTATGAACGAGGAACCCGCAGACCTCTCCCAGGAGAACGAAGAACTCAAGGTAAGTTTGTCAGTGATTGGTGATTAAGCCCCCCTCCCCTCCTCTAAGGGGCGGCACGGACATGAATAGCCTGTAAGTTGGCAGTGGGTAGGAGTCTGAGTATGGGGCCTTCGTGAGGGTAGGTATGGGAACGTAATGGCTAAGGGAGAAAAGGGGAGAAATACGGGGTAGGAAAGGAAATGTCCCTGTATGTTGGGGCATTTTTCCTCTCACTGGGTGTATATTCCTGTACGTTGGGGCGGCGCTCCCTTTAGTGGAAAGCTGAGCACTAAATACCCTGCAGTGGTCAAGGAAGAGTGAGGGAGGGTGGTCATGGGTGATCCCTAAGGCTCCAGGATCCTCTCTAAGGCTCCAGGATCCTCCCTAAGGCTCCAGGATCCTCCCTAAGGCTCCAGTAGCCTCCTTAAGGCTCCAGAAGCCGCCCTAAGGCTCCAGGAGCCCCACTTAAAGTACTCTGTGCTGAACCCAAGGTTTTCGGTCAAGTATTTACTGCTGCGAAGCCTTGAGAGTATGTAACTAGCACAACACAGTCTCCAGGTGCTCAGATGAGGCTCTGAAACAGTGAGCGATGCACTTGATGCACTTTACACTATCGGGTAAATAATACTTGATACTAGTCATCTTAACACTTACAAATCTCATTATACTCTACCAGAAACTTGTAATGCCTCATGCCTTCAGTGTTATGTAAACAAGAACGGTGAAGGAACTTATAATGAAACGTGTAACTACGGTCTTCATTCTCTCAAAAACTGTTTTGACCATTTTAGCTGTAAACCTGTCTGTGCCTGTCTGTGTGTCTCTGTATGTCTTTCTGTGTCTTTGTCACCATGTCTCCCTGTCTCTCTGTTAGTCTGTGTGTCTGTCTGTCTGTCTCGTGCTTGCTCCCTCATCCTAATTCCGTGGCCAAATTCTCTTTTCCATTTCCAGGAGGAATTAAGGAGACTCCTCACAATTTAGAAGGGATATGGTATGTGTCTCGCACCTGATGTTCCTTTAGGCTAGCCAACTGCACAATACATTATAATCTCCCTTCCATATTAACTGGAATTATCACTATATATATATTCACAGCACGTAAGTACCTTATCCCTTTATACTCCCTTCACTTTCCTGAAAGAAAAACAAAACGTCTCACTATGGGAATGTACTAATGGGTAGCAATCTTTCCCGGACACCAGGAGGAGATCCAAAAGCTGGCGGCTCAGATGGAGTTTATGAAGATCGTCCACATGGAGATGAACAACCGCCACCTCAAGCCCAAGCCCGGCGGCTACTTCAGCGACAAGAACTCTGTGATCAACACGGCTCAGTCTCCAGGGGCCAAGACCAACCCTCCACCCCTACAGGCATCCAGGGCGTCGGAGGGCAGCAACGAGAACTCCTCCGCCAGACTGTCTCCCGCAGCAGAGCTGGCCTCAGAGAGGGTCTGACTAGTTGCTCAGAGTGAAGAAGTATGGTTGTGAGCCGTGTCTATACCTAAGCTAATATACCTCCTCTATCAAAATTAAAAAGATAAATCATTACTAAAAACGGGGGGAAGGGGGAGGGGAATGTAGGCGTGTAGTAGGACGGATAATTTTGTAAAAAGACATAATATTCACTGTTTTAGCAAAGTTAATATAATGCATATATTGATACCAAGTTAGATAAAAAAAATCCAAGCAAATATTGTTTGAAAGTCACATTTAATTTCATAACCAATGAAGCAGTGTGTGTTGTGTGGGGTGGCAGTGTGTGTGTGTGTTGTTTACAACCATACTTGGTATGGTTCCGGGACCAGCACACAAAGCACACCTGTCATTAGTAAAGTTAATTGAATTACACACCTGATAAAACGCTTCACTGCCTTTTCGTAGTTCAGTACGAACTCTGTAAAGAATGCAGGTTAAAACCAAACAATGCAGTAATTAGTTGTGTTTTTGTAAATGTCTACCAGTTTTAATACAGTGCTGCATTTTATCATGTTAGTCGTTAAACACTTAAATCCTGAAACTGAGTTATATACTTTAATATATTAAATAATTGCAGTGTCTGTTAATAGCATATAAGAGCATTGAAACATCAGAGCTAAACACTGTACGTATTGAATTATCGTAGTAACTCTAGCAAAGATGTGTTCCCCCGCGGGTGTAGGAATAATATTAGTTTACTGTAACAAAACAGTTTATCGTTCAGATCAGTATTAAAGATAATAAGCAGTCCGAATTCAGTGATAAGAGTTCTTCAATGGTGCAGGGAATGTTATGAAAGGAGTCAGTCTATAAAAGTCAAGTTAAGGTAGTCCCTAATTAGAAAGAGTCCCTTAATTAATTTCAACTTTTACTCACCCCATTTAAAGTCCCATTTTGGTAGAGGCCAAGGCGCTGCACTCTCAAGTCTTACACATAACACGAAGGTAACTGTGCATGCTTAATTTCGGTCCATCACCGAACCACAAACTTGTAATTATTCGAGGCTAAAGTCTGTAGACTAACAAGAGAACCACTGAGAGTGCAGACGAGGAGTCATAATAACGTGGCTGAAATATGTTGACCAAACCACACACTAGAAAGTGAAGGGACGACGACGTATCGGTCCGTCCTGGACCATTCTCAAGTCGATTGTGACAATGACTTGAGAATGGTCCAGGACGGACGGAAACGTCGTCGTCCCTTCACTTTCTATTATGTGGTTTGGTCAAGAACCATTGAGTGTGTTATGTTGTGGGTCACATGGAGAGTGGAGTGCCTCAGCCGGGCCAGATTACCTCACACCCTCACACAAACTATCCCGTTTTGGTAGACACACTTTTGATGGTCCGTCGACTTGAGTTTTGACGGACCGGTTTGCAACTATGCTTCTTCACCTACATGAGCAGAACCCTGATTGATTACTCTGAATTACAGGTTAAACTTTTTGCAGACGATGAGTCACAATAATGTGGCTGAAGATGTATAATGACCAAACCACAGGAGGATTTTCTCCTCATCTTGTGGTGTCTGGTTTGGTCATTAGGTTAAACTTTTTTGTGTAAAACCTTGATGCGATATCCTGTCGAGGAAGTCCACCGATATTAAGGTTTTGGTATCAGTAAACTACAGAAATTGATGTTGCATTGTGACATTACTTATTCTGCTGCCAAATGAGGTCAAGGAGATGTTACTAACCTGAGCATTAAGTAGAAAATCCTAATGAAGTGTCATTAAGTCACAGATGATAATCTGTAACCTAATGACGATTCCCCAAATCCCATTCATTTCTGCAAAGTCAACTTTATTCCCAATAAGGGAAACAGATTCCAGTTATATTGCTCATTGCATAATAAGTTATGCAGTAAAAGACAAAATATTAAAATAGGCGATGGAGGACAAGCGAGCAAACATTCCAGTCAGACATTCCTTACATGCCAGCAGTAGACGGACACAAGAGCCGCCCCTGGGGGGACGGAAGAGCTCCCCCTGGAGGGACGCAAGAGCCTTCCCCTGGAGGGACGGAAGAGCTCCCCCTGGAGGGACGGAAGAGCCCCCCATGGAGGGACGCAAGAGGCTTCCCCATGGAGGGGCGCAAGAGCTCCCCCTGGAGGGACGGAAGAGCTCCCCCTGGAGGGACGGAAGAGCCCCCCATGGAGGGACGCAAGAGCCTTCCCCCTGGAGGGACGGAAGAGCTCCCCCTGGAGGGACGGAAGAGCCCCCCATGGAGGGACACAAGAGGCTTCCCCATGGAGGGGCGCAAGAGCCTTCCCCCCATGGAGGGACGCAAGAACCCCCCCTGGAGGGACGCAAGAACCCCCCTGGAGGGACGCAAGAACCCCCCCTGGAGGGACGCAAGAACCCCCCTTGGAGGGACGCAAGAACCCCCCCTGCAGGGACGCAAGAGCCCCTCCTGGAGGGACGCAGAGCTCCCTCAGTCTCCACAGTGCATCCAACGTGATGTATAATGTGCCGTACGTACTCACACTAATGAGTGAAGGAACTGTTTTAATCACTCGGCAAATACTGACTTGCGAGGTTATAGACTTAAGGAGGAATTGCTATATAGGTCTCTCGAGAAACGGCCTACTTTAACAAAGTGAGGGATCAATGAGACTGTGTTGGAAGGTCTCTGAACTAGACAAGGGTTTGTCGGGACCAAAGACAGAAAAAAGTAATATTTTTTAACTGGACACATTTGTAGCTGACGCCGCATTTAAAGTTCATGAACTTTTGATTTTATATAATTATTTTTTGTTTGTACTTGGCCATGCAAATTGGCATGGAACTTTTGTTATTCCCATTAGTATTTTGTTGTATTTTGGATTCTTAGTAGGAGAGATTTAAGGATGGCTGGTTTACCATCCTAAGACATGAAAGCCGTGAAACTGATGACTTGCTATATATAATACTTGAACTGACTGACCATGGGAAATGAACAATTTTCTACAGATAACCTGAGCCCCAAAATGTTTCCTGTGTAACAATTGAGTAGATAAGTGTATATTTTCTTTGGTCGAAGTCAGTTCATTTTCTCTGAAGAAGATCCTGTCATAGAAAACAGATCTTTTTCAGGAGAAACTCGAGAGGATTACCATACTACTGTCGAAGTAATATGGTAACTTTGGGTCATTGTCAAAATGTCTATACCATCAGTGTTCAATGTCAAATTTGTCGTTTGTTTTATCCTAACAAAAATGAGAGCATAAATATTAAGAAGTATAGTCATATCTGAGCCTGTTGTTACGCTGCATGGGTAGTGAGTCTTGTACAATGTATATCGCCTGGTTCAACCTTCTAACTTTAAGGACGTAACAATTCCTGTTGAATGGATTCCATATGTTTAGATTTAAAGTAACAAATAAAAGATCACCATGTTTGGTTTTCTTTTCCTGCCATCAGACTGATATAGATGTTTTAACTTATTATTACTGACACGAATGATTTATTGATCATTCTTATGATCATTCAATGATTATTGATCATTGATACCTGAAAATAAGATTTAAGAATCTCAAGTTGATGTCCTGTAGTCGCAGTTAATGAATTAGTTATCGATACCCTGACCCCAAGTAATTAAGTAATTATCAAAAGAGGGCACCAAGCCCAAGAGGCCATCGACAACAGTTTACTTGCTCCCAGGTAGGGAGCCGAGCGGACAGCACGCTGGACTTGTGATCCTGTGGTCCCGGGTTCAATCCCGGGCGCTGGCGAGAAACTATGGGCAGAGTTTCTTTCACTCTATGCCCCTGTTACCTAGCAGTGAAATAGGTACCTGGGTGTTAGTCAGCTGTCACGGGCTGCTTCCTGGGGGTGGAGGCCTGGTCGAGGACCGGGCCGCGGGACACTAAAGCCCCGAAATCATCTCAAGATAACGTATTTACTGTTAGGTGACTGTATACCACCCTATCAGGTGTAAAATGGCCACTGCCTTTTGCCACTTCTCGTCCTGTCCATGAATCTAACCACAGTCCATGTGGCAGAGAGTGCCAACTCTATAGAGCCAGAGCCAGTGAGAGTGCTAACATAGAGCCACATTACTCCTTACAGAGAAACCATACGTATGAATGACCTAGGTGGAAATTGTAACATAAATGTTATATATTTTCCTATATGCTATAGTAGCAAATGTGTTTTATAAAGCCACTAAATTTGTGCAGCGTTTTTAGCGATAATAGGGCTACTTAAAGCACAGCTTGTTAGCTATGTAATACATTTGGAAGAAAATTAAAGATGTTGAGGCAACAAATAGTTTGTGATATACATTATTCTCTGTAAATATATTTGAAAATACAAATGTGCATTGTACATTTCTTCGTGCATTCCAAATGTCATTAAAATGTCATGCATGTAGTGTTTATTTTGAGGCATTGTCCACGTTATGACACAAATGACTTAAGCCACAATGGAAAGAGCACACAGTGTTCACGAAGACTTGACATTACAAATACACAAATTAGTACGAAAGTGTTGAAGTCTTCGAACACTGTTTGTGGGGAAAGATACAACAGAGGCTGGTAACATTAGAGAAACGGGACCTCATGCACCCTCGATCACCCGTACATATTGTAGCAACCACACAAGATTGATTGATGAAGATTAAGCCACCCAAGAGGTGGCACGGGCATGGATAGCCCGTAAGTGGTGGCCCTTTCGAGCCATTACCAGTATCAAGAGCTGATACTGGAGATCTGTGGAGGCGCAACTGCACCCTGCGTGACGGGAGATGTCTCCCGGACCAAGTGGTGACCAAATGGTGGTGCCGGACTGGGCAACCACACAGACAGACGAAGGGAAATTGAGGGAAGGTAGAGGGGATGCGCTAATGCTTGAGAGAGAATAGATAAATCTAGAAGGCATATGAGAAAAGAAAGAAAGGAGAAGGTAACTAGCTATAAGTTCATTAAATATTCCCATCTCACAGGATGGTTAGTTATACATGGAATCAGGGGATAAAATACCAGCCTCAATAAAAAAAAAATCAACTGTGACTAACAAGAACACCACTTACGGGCTATTCATGCCCGTGCTACCTTTTGGGTGGCTTAATCCTCATCAATCAATCACAAGAAACAAGGGATACATCTCCCGTCACGCAGGGTCCAGTCGCACCTCCACAGATCTCCAGTATCATCTATTGATACTCTTAATGGTTCAAGAGGACTACCACTTACGGGCCTACCTCAAGGTAACAATCAGGTGAGAACATAAAATATAAGGCTGATCTATTAGCCTTCGTTAGCAAAATCCTGGTACAGCATAAGAATATCTTCCAATATTCCTAAGTGTATGAAGTAATTACAGAGTTCAAAGTACCTTATACCATTTGGTCTGAAGTCACTTATAACAGGGCAATCACAGATATAGTGTTGGTGAGTATGTCCCAGCTCTTGTTCACATAGTTTACAATTGGAATATTCACCATTGGGGGCTATTCATTACCTGCAGCCACCTGCGATACATATCGATATCCTAGCCTAATTCTGGCAATTACAATGTCACACTGTCATTGTGACACTAGTGGAAGTTTTATGCTGTCCATTCATATAATTCTCGATTCTAAACATGTTTACTTAGTTTAGTTCATTAATTATGCACCCCATATATCATCTTGTGGGCGGTAGTGGAAAAGGTTACAGAGGCACATAAACATGTCATAGCTCTTTATACTCTTGCTTTCTGGCTTTTGTGTGTCAGTGACTGCTCTTCTGTCTTCCCTAATTTCCTAAAATATTGCGGCTTTGACAGAAGAGATTGGAATGCCCATATCCCACTCAACTTCAGGCTTATCACATTCAGTTTTAGCTGCCTTGTTTGTGTCATCATGCTGGACAACACCTATATGAGAAGGTATCCATACAAATGAGACTTTGAAACTCCTACTGTTTGCAATAATAATGTTGTTTATAATGGAAGTTACAACTACAACCTTTTGAAGATCAATGCTAATTTTATCTAGATAATGTAATAAACGAAAGTTTTCTATGTCAACAGAAAGGCAGAAATATAAGCTACACTTTAAATACTTGTCATAAATATAACTGAAGTGAAAGCGAAGATATATGCATTTGATACTGTACAGTTTCTTGATGGCTTGCTCTAAGAGTGTGAAGCCCTTCACACCAGCCTATAAATTGTGCAATTTATTTCCATATATGCTAATTAACCTTAAAATCTATATGTCAGAAGGAAGGAAGATGTAGACGTTAATGTGACAACATTTCAAGAAATATCTCTCTCTTTAAAGTTAAATAATACAATCCTATCGCCGGTGTCCGGACACATTAAAGCTACTGAGGTATCAGTGGCCAGCCAGGTGGAGATCACAGGCTGTACAATACTGATAAATTATGTAATTCACAGAGATACGTTGATAAATATTAATGTTTTATATTTTATTAAAAATACAGATATATACTTTGTTTCATACGTTAAATGTAACAATATTTCAGTATATATTATATAAGCATAGTATATATAATTCAGTATATACAATATATAATAAGAGTGTCAGACCACGGAGGAAGAATTGAAACAGGAATTTCCTTTAGTACTTTCTTATATTAATACATGTTCAGAGCGAACCATTCCTTCTGAAGATGTATTAATATACGAAAGTACTTAGAGCATTCTATTGTGGTTTTAATATTGAACAATTATACATATAATTGTATGTATATGTATGTAATACATATATCCGAAATAGTCAAAATATTAGTGTGCGATGTGATTAATGTAAGGGGGATATTGGGTGTGCCTCGTATCCCCTACAACAACAAGAAGTTCGAGAGCGATGAGGTCGCCACCTACTAGCTTCAGGATGTCGTCGAATCTAAATCAACAATATACTACCGCCGCTACTTTCTCGGAAACGTAAGTACCTGCCGCTTTACTTCTCTCACCCTGCCTAGCCTGGCCTGGCCTGACCTGGCCTAGCCAGACCTGACCAGACCTGACCTGGTCAGGACCTGGCCTAGCCTTACCTAGCCTAGTCTGACCTGGCCTAGTCTGACCTGACCTGGCCTAGCCTTACCCAACACTAATCACCACACGTGACAGCCCAAACGAATCGCAAATAAGTACACGTAACAAGTCATATGCTCGGACACTCTTTCACCTTGGGGACTGAGTGGTAACTATTGTATAGAAGAGCCGGCTCCCTGAGAGTGGTAAGAGGGCGTGATAAGAGGCTAACGTGTGGTCTTGAAGGAAGTCGATAAAGCAGACAATTTTCAAAAGGAAGGGCAGCATAACGAGCAGACAGGAATGGACAGACAGTCGGTTATCCCATAATGTGTAATACGCCCCGCACAGCATGGGTGGAGTGGGGGGGGGGGTTGTAGCAGGGCACAGTATGGTGATGGTGTGGGTGAAGTACACACCCACTGAATTCCTGCCATCAATAATTGTTTTCATAACCATTAGAACAATGGCATCCCTCCAGCCACCATCCTTCCACTGACCCCCTCCTCTGGTCCTCCACCCCAGACAATAACCCCCCACACCCCCTCTCCCTTCCAGACATCAGCATGTCAAAATCAGTACAGGGTACCATAAAGTGTTTAAACTATTTAAACTAAGTCATTGTGTATCTCAAGGTATCTTAATTCATTTGAAAGTGTACATGTGCATTCGTTCATATACTCGCCTAATTGTGCTTGCTGGGGTTGAGCTCTGGCTCTTTAGTTCCACCTCTCAACCGTCAATCAACAGGTGTACAGGTTTCTGAGCCTATTGGGCTCTATCATATCTACACTTGAACCTGTGTATGGAGTCAGCCTCCACCACATCACTTACTAATGCATTCCATTAGATATAATCATATATGATTACACATATATGGGACCAAGGGACCTAGTCTATGGAACTCACTCCCTAGTGAATTGAAAAACTGTAAAACTTTTGCCTTATTTAAAAGCAAAACCAAAAAGTACCTAACTTCATCTTCTTAGTTTCCTACACTGAGCTTTAAATTTGCTCTGTACCTAGTGTTACCCAATCTCCTATTTTTTATGTAATATCAAACAACCTTATCATTGTGTTCATTGCTGTCTTCTTTTATGTACTAGCCATATGCTGTATTGTGACTACCAATTTTTGTTAACTACCATTCAAGCTGTCATTGCAATCAATCTTATATTGTTTCTGCTGTATTGTGCCTACCAATTTTTTGTCAACTACCATTCAAGCTGTCATTGCAATCAATCTTAGCTACCTATGTGCTTTAATATACTGTACCTACAATTTTCTCTCATCTTTTTTTTTTTCATTTCATGTAATCTGTTATCATTTTTTTGTCTATAAATTTTGCAAGTATTTACCTCCTTAAAATTTTCTTAGATTAAGGACCTGCCCGAAACGCTGCGCGTGCTAGTGGCT